GCCACAAGCATTTAAAATTGCTGTAAAGCCGCTTGGAGTCGGATGCCGAAAATGCACGCGAAGCACGAAACGGTTTTGACATGTTTTGATCCACATTCAGCTCTATTGCGAAGCACGTGCTTCAAGGTAGTTCCTTTTCTGGATTGCTTGTGGTTTCTCGCTGCAAGGACTTACGAGAACGTTTGCGTACTCAGAGCAGTGACCACCACCGACTTCATGACGGCACCATGGCTTCATTCAAGGGCATTTTTCCACGCCAGAAAAGCGAAGTGGCAGGAGTTCCAAGGTTGGAGGCCATGGCTAGTACTCGTACGTTGGAGACCATCGCTAGTAGGGTGGAGGCCATTGCTATAGGAAACAAAGGGAATACAAAAGTAAAAACGGTGTAATATAATTTAATGTATATATAGTTTCTGTTTAATGCTTCATTCAAGGGCTTTTTCAGGAGATCCTATAGCCTATACTGAATTCAGCAGTTCCAAGTCGGGTTTTCAGTCCCATCCAGCGAGTGAATATACAATAGGCCCCATCATCCATCGTTCGCACCCCGACATGAAACTGCTGGTTCCTTGTGCTTTCTTCCTTTCTTCCCCGTTCACTTCTTCAGGGTTCGTCTCAGTGTTTGGGAGCTGAACACGGACGGCGACGGGGCCTCGAAGCGAACACCGAGATCGTGCCGTTTCTTTTTTGAAACCAAACCTGGGCGTGCGAACAGTTGCGAACGGAGCACTTGAACCGGAGGCTGTGTTGAGCGAAGCCTTTGGCCAAAAACCTCTGGCCATGTTGGACCTGACTCGTGTGATGTGAGGGAGTATACTGTAACCATTTTGTAACCCCTTGTAATCCAACCAACGAACATGGGATCCAATATGATCCAATCCATGCCTTTGAGATGGTCTTTCAGAGTAGCGAAAACATGCTGAGTTCGTTGATCAGCAGGTTCAGCTCCAAGATCTAAGTGGATTTTGATTGGCCCCTGAAGATGTGTAAATATACGTAGACTACAGAATGCCAATGAGTGTTGAAATGCAATTTGGGACAACTTGCTGGTCAATCTCGAAGGAAGAGCATGTAATTGCTGTACGTGAGGAGGTCAAGAGATTTGGAGGGAAGAAGTCATCTGGCGATCTTGGATCATCTTGGCGCAGGCTATGGACCCATTGGATCGAATTGGATGCATGCTATGAACGCACATACCTTCATTCTAAATGAATTGGAACTTCGCATGGCTCGTCCCCATAGTTTCAGGCCCCAAATCCGCTTAAACAGAGTCACTGGCTGCAGCTGGGGGGGGCCTCACCGGCCTGAAATACGACCAGCACGACCGAGCCCGCCCAGGCGGATTGGTATGACATGCCACATGATGTGCTGGCAAAGATTTCCAACCGCATCATTAACGAGGCAGGGAACGGGGGGAATTTTGCCATCTTATTTTCGGAATGTCTCTATTTCGGAGATGAAAGGAGCAACAATTTTATCAAATTCAGCAGTTGGGATAATTCTATGCATAAACGACTAACTCATGTCAATTGGATATTATATTATATAGTCTAACATCATCATTCTTTTGTACAGCTCATCAGAGAGCCGACCATCTGGACTGCAAAAGAATTGGAGCCTGCATGCAAAACGAAAGAATACGTACCCCGTTGTCTGCTACGTTCGAAGTGAAGTGAAAAACCCCCTGCGTCTGACGAGGAACCTCGTCTTCCTTCAGGACCATGCCATCCACTTCTGAAAACACTTCCATGTGGTCCACCTGTTGGCGTCAGATGTCCATGGCATACCAGTGTAGAATAGGGGGGACCTGCGTCAGTGGTCCACCATACAGTGTATGCCAGTGGTGCTCGTCAGATGTCCAGAGACCTGTGGGACCTGTCAGTCCATGTCGACACTGGGAGCGGAGCTGAGTGGCAGTTGGGAGCTGGGGGAGAGACCGGTCTCAATGGGTTCGTGGGCCCGGAGGGTCGCACTTGGATAGGCTTTTACTTGCTGCCGTTAGATCCACCGGTCTAACTAATGACACCATTTTCGCTTCATTTGGGGGAGGTTTATTGATCAAGTGTTTACGTTATATGTCTCTGGATTTTGAGATGAATCCAATTTAGGTTGTTCTGCGCTACATACACGCACCTCGGCCACCACTCTAATTTCAACGAACGTTCTTTACAATGTTCCATATGCCATAAAAACATTGCTTGGTCATTGTGACACATTATACGACAGTGACCGGGATATTACCGGATCTATCGGGATCATGGAACTACGGAAAATCATGGCATTCCACGACTTGAATCAATGATGTGTTGAAATGTTTTGAATCGATGTTTGCACACGTTTGCTCTTCCTACCAACCAGAGGTCATACCCCTGCAACTGCGCCTCTCAGAGACACGACTAGCCGGCCCATGCACTGGCGCCACCGGCTTTTCGATCACTCCACGGCGGTAGCACTTCGTGGCAGCCGCGGCACTGTCCAACGCGGCCAGGTGAAAGGAATTAATCGAGTATGCTATGACGTGTCGTCCAAGCCTCCCGCAACCATCGAGCAGGGATGCTAAATCGGTGTGAAGGGATTGGGGGTTGAGAATCTCTGGCGCCATTTGGGTGAGGAAGGCTGGAGTGTTACAAAGAAATCCATCGGCAGGGCTAGAACGATTGCGCATTGGTTGCCAACACTTTGGGCTACCATGCCATAGACCATGCAGGCTGATGTTCATGCTTGTGAAAGACACAGGAAGCTTTGCATAGGAGAGCCCGCTCACATGTTTTGCACTGTCGTACTATGTTGCACTTCAATGGTTGAACGTTGTTGATCAAGCGCCATACAATGGACATATTTGTTTTGTTTGTGCACCAACAGGGGCAGTTTTTTTCAGAATGAAGGTGGATTAGGAACTTGTTAGCTTTGACCAGAAATGAGATTCAGATCAATTTTCGCAGCTAGACACTTCTAGACATCCGCACAACGGTCATTGGACCCCGGGACCGCAACACTTCCAGAACATGTCAGATACCCAGAGCCCCTGTGGGGCCCCTGTCTCAGCACTCCTCCGATTGTTTGGGCGCTGTTGAAAGGATTTGGTGGAGAGTTCAGGTCAGTTTCCTATAGTGTTCTATCGTGTTTGGTAAAAGTTTGCTTCTTTGCTCTTTGACATGATTTCCCACAAAACATGAACTCGGTTGTTGCTAGAGCGTCTGAGACGACCAAAGAACCGGGACGACTTTGAAGCGGCTGGTTTTCTTTGTTCCACGCGCAGGTGGGAGTGAGCTCTTCCAAGTTTCACGAAACATTTCGATTTCACTTAAGACAGGCGGGCGGCCGGGGGGGTATGCGTGTGAATGTCGGCGGCATTCGAAGCTTGATGTGGGAGCCAGTTTGGGTGTACATTGAATGCATGGTTGGCCAGGGTATCTTGAATGCAGGAGCACCCAAATAAGTCTTTGAACTGTCACGGCATGCATTTGGCTGGCTCCTTGAACCTTACTGTATATTGATCATATGCTGTACCTCTCTGGAACTTTGAGACAGAAGCAGAGACCTGGTACTGAATCACGGTGTCCTGACCTTTTGTTTCGATTTGCGTCGAAGGCGTTGCATTCGTTTCTCCAAGGAGACTGCAAGGAGACTGGACATTGAGAGTTTCTGATGTTCTCCATGGCCAGAAGATACTAGAAGCACCTAAAGGCATGTCTACATACTGGGGCCTCATCCCTAGTGGCCCTAGTTGCTCTTAGCAATTTCCAAGAAATGACCTCCCTTTTCGATCTCAAAGGCACCGAAACCCAAAAAGCCGACACAAAAGCCGACACGCCCATCATCCTTCTCCGGCAGGTAGTTCCCCGCAAGTCGCCTCGCCGGGCTGAAGAGCCTGAGGGGTCCTACGATGAGAGCAAAAGGAAAAAGAAAACAACCCTCGGCGTGTGGCCGTGCTTGGCTTCGTGTTTTTGCTCTCATCAGGGGCTTGGAAACGCGGCCCTAGTCGCTGCCGCGCGGCAGCGCTTTTGGCTGGCGGACGTCTTTAATTTATGATCTAGGGGGGCGAAACTGGAACACGTTCTCAAGTGACTTGGTCGCCAATTCTGGTCGCCAATCGCACGCTCTTTTTGTGCCTTTAGGATCCTTCAGGATAACTCTTTCGCCCCACTTGATTCTTTTGGAGCTTTTGGAGAAGCGGCGCGGAAATCGCCCTACCCCTCTTTTGACCTTAATTTGAGAAGTGGGGGCACTTGCGGCAAAAAAGGGCGTTGTGCGGAGTCGTGGGCCGCAGCCAGACCATTCTGAAGCAGATGCACTCGTCACAAGCATCAAGGGTTCAGGACAAGCTGTTGCGAATCTATTTGACGAGCATGTGATAAAGGGACAGGGACAATGGACGGATGGAAGCAGAATCGTACTGTCTTACAGAGTGTGAAGTATCATAATGAACGATGTTGGAGCAACCGGAGGAGAGGTTGTGGTAAGATATTCATTTGAGTAAAAGAAGGGCCAAGTTGAGCAAGTGATGTCGGCGTGGAAGATGAATCGAGCCAGCCCCTGACGACACACCGTGTTCGATGTGATAGGAGCCTGAAAGAACCACGTTTTTCGGAGCCCCTAAGTTTTTGGCACTGCTCCTCTGCTCCTCTGCCTTGATTGGAGTCAGGGCTGAGACTGGGAAGTTGGTGTGGTCTGAATGGCTGAGGGTGGTGGTGTTTGTGCCGAGGTACCTTCCCATACCTTTCCCATCCTTGGGCGAACAGAGACCATCCGCTGGTCGGTAAGCACAGGGTGTCCCTGGAGCGGATGGCCACTGAGTGAAGTCGGACATGCCACGAGTTCCTTTGGACGTAGACCTTCCATGAGTCCAAATGGCCATGAGTCCAAAGCTCCCCCACCAAACCAATAGGTAGGTTGACAATGGTGGACATATGTTGACGTCCCTCTTGGAGGATGTTTCACTTCTTTTGGGGTCAGCCAAGGTCCACATGTGTTTTTTTCCACGGTCAGCGTCGACACAGGCGGCGGCCTTGCTACGGTGCCCACGGCTCATGCGCGACTTTGCTCCGAGTGATGTTCTGCGTGCCTTTGCTTCCCAAATCACCGGGGATCAAAGCCAAATTGGGATAGAACGTCAACATATTGTTAATATAGAGAGGTTACTCTAGATCCCAATTGGTTACTCTATATAGAGGTTACTATATAAGCCAAGAGGTTACTCTAGATGCAACCAGCTCTCCAGAGACTGCAGGTGAAAATTTCACCAGATCTGACATGGTCTAGGATCTGATTGCTCTCTCCACCAGGAAAACAAAGCTTTGGGCGTTGATGACCAGTTCAGATCGGAGCGGATTTACAAACAAAAACATCATTAACCAATCCAAGGTCAAGTGAATCTAAGTGCCCTAAGAATCCTTGGACCCTGCCTGGCAGGGCTCGGACCCGACACCGAAACGAAGGGGTTCCGGACCCTGAACATCCTAAATTGAGCCGGACCTGAATTCTTTGGGTGAACTATGTTGCTACGCTCGTCCAAACTCACACCATCTCACACCTGCTGTCAAAGTATGTCACCGTCCTTCCAACATCAACGGCTCAAAGCCGTCTCGAATCGAGTACCGTACCTGTGCGAAAGACCACCAAGGCTGGACATGACATAGTGCGGGGGAAATCATAGGAAATCATTTCATGTTTATTAGGCCTTTTGGTGGAGCCTAGATGCCACGCACTGGCGGTCCTGGTCCATGGATCTCCTGAAGAATCCACGCCTGCGTCGCATCAGACATGGTACACCCAACCCGATTTGTAGAGGAACTTGAACTTGTCTGACTTATGGTATGAATATGACTGTGGGTCAAAAGCCCTGACACCCCTTGAAAACGAACCGATGCCTCTACCAGGGGATGTCAATCCCTCTACCATGGTTCGTATTAACAGAATAGGGCACCTGCCATTGGCAGATGCTGCGAACGCAGCTTGCTGAGCCTGTCACCTGTCGGTCCCATGGAAAAGAGACTGGTCACATCTGTCACCACTTGCCGTCAGGTGACACTGTATTGGCCCCAGCAGCCAAGGACGACCAACCTGAGTGGGGTGGCTTGTCATGGGTGACAAGGATTTCGCTTGTCCAGGGCGGACCCCCCCATCAATTTGGCATTGTTCCATCGAATTGGTTCGTCTCGTGTGCTTTTTGGTGGTTCCAAAAGATTAAGCCAGACAGCTTCGGGGTTTACCGAAGCTTCGCGTCTAACATTGGGTGGCCAAGCTGGATTCTGGGAGATTCTTCTGGGTCCACCCAGAAGGCATTCGGGTTTTCCCAGAAGGCATTCTGTAACACAGCAACTCCAAGCGAGAGCACTCTGTGTGAGAACAACATATGAGAGCACATCCAAGCGACAGCTCCTCGGAACAAGTGCCAGGAATACATCCTTTGCAAGTGGTTCAAGTGCTTACAAGTGAGACTATGGTTGATACATGTTGAAACTAGTGGACGCTGTAAATCGGGCGCCCGCCACAAAATGCCCCTGGCGGTAGAAAGTGATGGAATAAATTATGCATCATTTGGCATTCTGTATAAACACTGCTAATAGCATCTCAGGAGGCTCTTCTTTGAAGAGGTAGCAGAAGTAGAGGCAACACCTTTAAAGTCTCTAGATTCTTCCCTTGATGCCACCTCAGGCCCGCTGTTCTTTCCCTCTACTTTCCAGTGATGTCACGAATGCCAGGAGCTCTCTTCCCGCAGCGTTTTGAGCCTTTTGGTGTCCTGGCCAGGAAACATGCCCAAGTAGAAGAGATGGGGTTTGGAGAGGAGCAACAATAGGAGCAGCACCTATTTCAGCAAGTTGCTGGTGTTTGCCGCGGAGTCCCAAAGCTTAATCAGGCGGTTGTCACAATGCCAAAAGACAACAGCCTGAAGACCAGCATGTGTTTTCTCCCTTTCGTGACAGTCGTTTTTAAGGCTGTTGCCTCCTCTTCATGTGCCTTCGTTCTCATGACGAACACAAATGCAAGATCTGGACGTTGAAGCTGGATCTTGGTACATCAGATCCTGGCGTGACAGTCGTTTTGTGGCATCATTTGTCTCTTTAGGTGATGGATCGTCACAGGGGCGGAGGACGATCCCAAAACAGCATCAAACCAGCTACTTCTCCAAGGAACGCATCATGCAGCTGACCACGACGCTGGTCGAGTCATCGGTGCGCAGCGATCAGACGTGCCACCGGTAGACGTGCGGGCCGCGCAGGGAAGGGTGAGAGGAATCCTGATGGATCCTGGTTTTGCTTGAGGCTATTGTTTATTCTGGGTAAATTCCATTAAATCCCCAAACCTGGGGAATATCTAGTATTTTGTCCAGGTTTCTTAAGCAAATCCAAGGAATGGGGGATGGATGGGGATGGAAAGAAACCGGAGGAATAGAAGGATTGGAGTAGATGATGGAAGCCAATTTGTTGTCGTTTTACTTATGCAGATGGATTCTTTTGAGGAAAGAACGTGGCAGCTGCATGAACCAAAGTTCGACTTTCGACACGCGTTTCTTGGACAATCTGTCACCTGACCCGCATTCCACACAAATGTCCTGGATTGGCAGTTTGACTTGAGCTTCTTGCCAAGAGCTTGCAAAAGTCGTGCATGTATGGTGCATGGGGTTCGACTCCACTAACTCCCGCGAACTCAACCATCAAGCAATCCCAAGCAATCCCCCCTGTTTGAGTATAGATGTTGTTCAACCGATCTCAGCACGACCTCCAAGACCAGCACGTGGACCTGGATGTGTCGAACTGAAGGATTTTGGCCGTGGACCCGCAGCCAGATATCTACAAGCCATGATGTGGCGCGTGGATGGAGCAGTGATCAAATTGTAGTTGTTGGAGCGTTTAACTCTTCAGTGGTTTTGATTTTGAAAAAAATGATCTTTGAAGCCAACATTTGACCTCAGGAAAGACGAAACCTTCTTGCATTCATCATGTTGAGCCTTAGAACCATTCTTCCAACATGTTTTCCACTCCAAGCTCGAAGAGGTCGAGCACCCACAAACGCACCCGCAATCCACACATGCCAGGACTTGAGGTCCCCTGAAAAAGATTTAGACCCCTCGTTTTGCCCAGTTTGGGTCTAAAGCCGCTGATCCACCCAAACTGAGCAACAGCCATGCCATACACCCATCTTGCTGGTCATCTTGAAGTGATCTACGGCCAAGCACCTGTGGGCCACCTGCGGGTCACACCACACGTTCCAGAAAACACGCAGAGACGCTCGGGAAATCCCGCCGGACGCGAGCGTCGGAAGCCAGCGGAGCTGCTGCCATGTAGACAAGATGAGGTTTCGCAAAACCAGCGGAGCTGTTGTGGACTGCACAGGTCTCTCAGGAAACATGATAAGAAGATATAAGAAGTGAATAAAGCAGGTCAACAGATGCTTTAGCTCGGCATAGCTCGGCACACTATAATTACATCTTGGCTTCAATGAAGTTGAGGTGTGAGCATACACACACTCACAGACTCCTGCACTATGGAAAGACGGCAAGTTTATTTCACTTCCTGGCTTCCACATGATGCAGGACACCTAGCTTCAAGTGGTCACCCCGACTGAACACAGAAACAAAGGGCGGCCGAACTCCTGTTGCCTTTGGCTTGTTCTTTTCGGAGAGAACGACGTCAGCGGGACGTTGCCAGGTTCGCCGATGGATCGCTATGAGAAGATCAAGCTCTTGGGCGAGGGAGCCTTCGGCTCCACACCCAGAGCGCAGCGCATGATGGACGAAGTCAACTGACTAGTGAGTGACTAGCCCTCCAGCTTTCCGGGTTGTCGTGTGAACAATTTCATTATGCAACTGCTTTCTGAAAGAAAATGCTTTCTGAAAGAACTCACTCACTGCACTGGTCGTGTCTCAGCTTTGCATGTTAGTATATCCGCTGCCACATTTGGATTGAACAAAACCTCTTCAAGGGGTTGACATATCATCAACAGTCTACATGAGTCTACATGAGTCCGAGGCCCGACAACTCGTTCATTTGTTCAATACTATCCACCCCAGTCAGTGGATAACTTGGATAACCTTTTGGCCTTATAAAACTGTTCTCTTGAGAGTCATTTCCCCACTAAAAAGGAACAGAAAGTTCGAAGAACCATGTATCTTCCAGAGATTCTTTTCCAGGAAGCGGTGGAGGCCGTTGCTATTAGGTTCGAGGCCATCACTCTTAGGTTGGAGGCCATCGCTGGTAGATTGGAGGCCATCGCTAGTAGGTGAGGCCATCGCTATTAGGTTGGAGGCCATCACTCTCAGGCTGGAGGCCATTGCTAGTAGATTGGAGGCCATCGCTATTAGGTTGGAGGCCATCACTATTAGGTTGGAAACCATCGCTAGTAGATGGGAGGCCATCGCTATTAGGTTGGAGGCCGTCGTTATTAGGTTGGAGGCCATCGCTATTAGGTTGGAGGCCATCGCTAGTAGGTTGGAGGTCATCGCTGGTAGGTTGGAGGCCATTGCTATTATAGGTTGGAGGCCATCACTCTTAGGTTGGACGCCATCGCTATTAGGTTGGAGGCCATCACTCTTAGGTTGGAGCTGGTAGATTGGAGGCCATCGCTATCAGATTGGAGGCCATCGCTATTAGGTTGGAGGCCATCGCTATTAGGTTGGAGGCCATCGCTACTAGGTTGGAGGCCATCGCTGTTAGATTGGAGGCCATCGCTATTAGGTTGGAGGCCATCGCGATTAGGTTGCAGGCCATGGCTATTAGGTTGGAGGCCATCGCTATTAGATTGGAATAGATTGGAGCCCATCGCTATTCGGTTGGAGGCCATCGGTAGTAGATTGGAGGCCATCGCTATTAGGTTGTATCGCTAGTAGATTGGAGGCCATCGCTATTAGGTTGTATCGCTATTAGGTTGGAGGCCATCGCTATTAGGTTGGAGGCCACCGCTAGTAGGGATGTCCTTTTCGGGGGCTCCCCTTATGATGCTTTTGAGGCTCGGCCTATTTGGTCCGCCCAAAGGCCTCCAGGGATGGCCGGCCGGGCGGAGGGATTGAGGGAAGGGTGGGATTGAGGGAAGGGTGGAGATTGAAGGAGCAAATGGTGAGGGATGCCGAAGCACTTTTGATGCTAGGCTGCTAGGCTAACTATGTTGGTGCGAGCTGTGACTCCCGCAGCGAGAAACGGTGTCGAAACTGGAGTTTCAACCTCATCTCACGATAGAGCATAGGTGGACAAGGAGATAGAATCGCATAGAACTCACAGAATGACGACTGGGAGCATGTCTCAACACGGCGAGAAAACTGCTACTCACAATTCGAGAATAATCCAACAGTGATGCACCTCCAGATCCTTCGAAACCTCAGCCGTTTTCGGTTTTCCATCTATAGCAAGTTGCCTCGACTTCGTTGCATGTCCTCCGAAAACCGGACTTCCACCCCGCGGCTTCGACCCAGGATGAGCGCCGGGTGTTCCAAGTTGCCAAAGAGATCCGAATGCGGGGTCTCTCAAAGGGGTGGGACATGGTGGGAACATGTGGGAACCAGACATCAAGGGCTCGGCTCGTTCTGTCCGCACGCTAGAAAGCAGGACAAGGCAAGTGTTGTTCATGGCAACTCTTCGTCGTCTTTCCTTTCCCTCCAAACGAATCCACCCAGTCGTAACAAAGGGCATCGCTACTAGGAGCAAGGACGCTACGAACCTAGCTCCTGGCCCTACTACTAGGAACAATAAGCTACGAACGGAGCAAAGGACTTGGAGAAGTCCACGCATGGTCGGACGCGGAGCAGCTTGGAGTCTTGGTTCCCGGAATCCGGTGGTCCAAGCAAAGAAGGAGAGCTGCGCAAGCAGCAGACCCCCCCTTCTCTTGAAACACCCAACCCAAACCTCCCTGAACGCTCGTGAACCACTGGACTATGAGGGCTGTTTAAACATGTTTTAACTGTTTTTGCAGTGAGCGGTCTACGCCAGGAGTCCTAGTCCTAGTGAATGCCGTGGGCCGTGGAATAAGTTTGCAATGGATTGTAAGAACATGTAATTAAGAACTTCGGGATATAGAAAGGATTATTTATAAAGGATTACAACTAATTGTGAGAATGTATTGATTCACACATCATGTTAGAAACACTGGAACTGGAGAAGAACCTTTGTGGCCATATTCTTGACGGTCCCTTGTGTCCATCAATCAAGACAATAAAATTAGCTTGCATGACCCTCGATGAGGGTGTGTACACCTATTGACAACATTGGTGAGACTTAGAGATCTTCTTCAATCCTTCTCATCCTCTTCTTCACATGCGGTGAGTACCTTGATTCATCACCTCCAAAGAAAGCTGTTTTTACTAGCTTGACAATTAGGATATTTTATATTTTTTGCTGTTTTGTCAATTCCCCCGCCACGCCGCAAGAGCTGCCTCTCCGGCTCAGCTAGTTGGCGTCTTCAACATCTTCACAGAGATCCAGGCAGGGACCCTTCAAGCACATAGATCAACCTGTAGGAGAACACTAAAGGTAAATTAGATCATTGAAGGGTCCACTTGTCCGACTGAAGGGTTTTGTTTTTTTAGGCTTGTATTGTTAACTGTTGATCATTGCTGGCAGGCTCTTGTCCTCCTTTCTTCGGAAGCCTCTTGACTTTGGGAAGGCGAGGTCTGGGGACCTGACCAGGGTATCTGAGGAAGCAGTCTTGCATTTAGGGCCGCTCCTTGCATTTGATGGGTACCACCTGTGATGGCAAGGGTGAGCCGTGCTTTTGTTGGCAGCATTTTTGGCTCTGCGGTTCTTCGGTTCCGCGGTTCTTCGGTTCCGTGGTTCTTCGGTTGCGCGGTGCACTCCATGGCCGACCCAGCAGCAGCAGAAGTTGAGGTTGACGTTGAGGCGGCTCCTGAGGGTGGTGTTCCCGAAGCCCTTCAGCAGATGGCCGATTTGCTGGAGGCAGCTGAAGACCCTGTGCCTGAAGATTTGGGTGCCCAGGCCGGCCCCTTGGATTTGCCGGAAGCTGCTGCTGCAGCAGTTCAGCACCACAACCGGGTGCGAAACCAGCTGGCTGAGCAAGTGAGGGATGCATTGGGGTCAGCTGTCAACCCTCAGCTCATCCTCAAGCAGAAGGAAGAGATCCAAAAGCACGCGGTGTCATTGCGGCAGGCGCCAGAAGTGTTCAGGATGCACTACGACACGCGCGAGTGCTTCAGCTGGGCTCTAGCAGGGTTCAACCTCATGACCTCAAG